GGCAACGAGCCCCTTTTTTATTATTTTCTGAATAAACATTCATACATAATTGTTTTTTAAGCTCTACTGAAGTGTGCGTTGATAATAGCGGAAAGTTGAAAACATCTACAGACGTCATCGGATCTATAAGTGGAAATGATTTGATTGTTTTTCTTTTCAAAAAATAAAACACAAATGTGAAACTATGTATTCCGACAGCTTGCTAGAATGAATTCGAATCGGGCGAATTTAAGTCAGCCGACGAAATCTAAGTCCTATAAATCATTTCAATTAGAGCTGATTAAAATATGTATGCCAGTTGGCAGCTCTGACGTACACCTTCAGTTACTAATGCAGCTGGAAAGTGTAAGACTTGAGGCTTTATTTTTTGTTTATTAAACCTAATCTTGCTTGTCTTTTGGTTAATGCCACCTGCCAAGCACGATGACTCAGCGCAACAGCTTAGCACGCACTGACACGCACTAGCATGCACGCAGCATGGGAGCGAGCGAGACAAGGGCAAGGGCTTATGGGTTATGCTCGGCTTTACCGTTCAAGCGCGCTCAACAGCAAGCGCAACGGCAGCGCTGCCGGACGACTCCGTGTGCGGCGTGGAAATGGCTGATGCAATCGTCGAAGTGAATTGGGCGAGAGTCGAAGCCACTCGGAATCGGCTGCTTCGGTGGTGGTCGGTCGGCACTACTTTGGTATTGGTGATGGTGTTGGTGTCGGTGTTGGTGTTGCTGATGGTGATGAGTGCTCGCAGCTCAGTTGCACAATTCAACAAAAGGTAACCAAAGACAGGGCGCGCACACACACAAACACACACTTACATAGAGTTCAATTTATGCACGCAAAGAATGCAAGGGAAGCAGAACCCACACACACACACACACACACGCTAGCATACGAGCTAAGCACATACAACCGCGCAGCAGGCATAGCACACTCCATAGGTTAATTGATAAATTACACAGTTTTATGTATATGTATGTGTGCTATTTAGGAAGTGCTCACGTTTTCTAGGTATGTATGTATATATTGTCATAAGCGTATATTTATTTTTTTAGTTAATGCTAATGGCACTCGCAATCGCAACAATTATCGATAATTGTAATTCAGTTCGACAAAAAATTTTCCATATTCAAAAAAAAAAAAAAAAAAATTATGAGAAATAAAAGTGGTTTCATAAATTTTCCATTACAACTGCTTTTATACGCCAGTACACAGACACACATTAACACCCAAGAGTACGGTGAGCGTGCGTGGCTATGCAATTGTGTTATACATACATACATACATATGCCGCCGCTAACGAATATCTTTTATATGCATAACTATTATACGCACTTGAAAGGGAAATTTCTGTCATTTGAAAAATATCCCTCAAGGCAAAAAGTAACGTTTATTCAAATGCATAGCCTGAGGTCGAGGTCGCGCGAGGCTGTTGCCAAGCGCATTTTTTTGGACTTTATCAGACAGAAACAAGAAGAAGAAGTAGAGAAAAAAAATGCTACATTGGCAACGACGGCACAGAATTTGTGGCATGCACATGAATTTTCTCACGTCGCCAGCCAGGTGTGGATATGTATGCATATATATATATGTATGTTTCTCTATGTGTGTGTAGACGATTTGTACAACCTGCAATTCACATGCCTGCACAGTATACGTTTGTGGTTGTGTGTGTGTGTGTGTGTGTGTGTGTGTGTGTGTGTGTGTGTGTGTCTGTGTGTGTTTGACTTGTCTTGGCAGTTGCATGTTGCACTATCTTTTCCCCGAACTGCATATCTCTCTATCTGTCTGTCCCTGTCTCTGTCTGTCCGTCCGTCTGTTTGCTGACTTTGAATGAGTCTCAGCCCAGTTCCGGTGGCTGTTGCCCGTTAATTAGCAGAAAAGTGCAAACGTAGACGGCAAAGCGAGCTCTTTTAACCATTTTTTTTTTTTCGTATTTTTGTATTTTTCGTCTCTTTTTAACTATGTATATTTTTGTTGTCTCTTTTCTGTTAATCGAGTGTGCATCTTTCTACCAGCATTCGCTGCATTTGCCATGATGCAATAATTGGGGCCAACAAAATAATGGCGAAATGCTACGATCGGACGATAAAACAATTAGGCGATCGTATGATCGTACGATCGTATGATTCGCCCAGTTTTCGACCTTTCTTATTTCTAGGAAATTGTATCGTTTTCTTTCTTCTTTTTTGGAGAGTAATAAATTGATGGTTTGTCGCGTTCGATCGGTTGCCGATCGGTACCAAGCGGTGCCAAGGCCTATGAATATACATACATATATCTCATTCATTGTGCTCATTTAGCGCGAACTGCTTTGGCTACACTGCTCAATATATTTGTATTTATTTCTTGGAAATTCCCATAATTAATTCATTGTCATACAATGAAGCATGTACGATAAATTTCTCTTACATAGGAAAAACTTTTCAAACTTTATTAAAATCCCTAATAAAACCACTTTTCATATGCAAATAATCTGGAAACTAAGAATTTCCATCTAAAAGTCCTTTAGCTAAATTAAGAATGAATCATAAGCCTGAATCATTTTGATATGTTATATACAACTGTTATACTGATTGAAGCAACGACCAATCTAAAATGAACACGAAATTTCCTGAAGCAAACAATTTGGAATGAGCGCAGCTGTTATACTATGTGCACGCACAACTGTTATACCATGGAGAGAAGCGCGTACAGTTTGCATCCGTATTGCGAGTGCGTGCGCTTTTCCTGGAACGTCATCAGATCTGCTCGAATCTCGTTCCACTGCAGCATCAATAATTGAATCGATCGATATGGAAGTGGCGTTTGATCTAGTAATCGATCTAATGCAGTTACGTCAAATTTGTTACGTTAGCTACTCGTTACGTTGTTGGTCGCCTTTGAGGCCTGTCGTCAGAAGGGCACGAGATCAATTCGCCACAGCTGCAGCAATTTACTTGATTTCAATTGAGTTTCGCTTGGCAATTGGCAGCTGCCAAATGTGGGAGTCGAGCAGAGCGACTGGGGCGAGATGGTGCAATGAATATATATATGTATATGTACATATATATAATTGGTGTATATATATATTGTATATTGCTGGTTGACTTTGCCGACAAATGAATAAAACTAGTCAGAGCTAGCTAGTTAGTGCGGCGAGAATACGAGCCCCGGGCACCAGTTCTGGCTGCCGCCCAGCAACAGGCACAGGCACAGGCACAGCAGCCGCAGTAGCAGCAGTAGCCGCAACAACCGCCCCACCGTCCCACCAGATCCAACAGATCCACCAGACCCACTCTGAACCACACGTAACTAGCGACACAGCGGCACAGCGGAAAGCGAACACGCGATCTGTTGAATTGCTGCCAGTCTGTCTGCCATTGTGAGTGCTCCCCTTCCCGCTGTGCTCTCCTCTCGCTCTCGCACGCGCTCAGTCTATCTGCCTGCTTCCACTCTGGCAACAAGTTTTGCTGTCCCCCTCCCACTCGCTGGCCCCCGCTTACATTTGTGGTTTTCTGCCCTCAACCGAGCGAACGCAGCAGACAAACTGGCACTCACTTGATTGCAATGAATCAACTGTGCTGATCAGCAGCAGCAGCAGCAGCAGCAGCAGCGGAGCAGTGTAAGGGGGCGCTGCAGCGAGGGGGCGTGGCGTGTTGGGTCGCGACAAATGGAACCTTGCAGCGTTGAGCTGCCGCTCGCCTGGACTGCGGCGTTTAAAAGCCATGCCGCCAGGCACGTACGAATGTGGTGGAAAGAAGCAGCACGAGAATTGCTACACGGCCAGAAAAAGTGGAAAATAATATTCATTGGAAATCAAAACAAATTTACATATTTCCTTATTAAATCAATTCCTTTTCATATTATTTTTATATACATATGAATATACATATAAACTGAATTAGAGAAGTGAGCATATGTTTCTCTCAGTGTACCGGTCACATTTAAATTCTTGTCGTTGTCAACTGGTTTCATTCGGGTCCCCAACCCCACCCCCGTCGCAGCTGAGGCGCATTGAGTCAAGGGTAAAGCAACTATTGGCTAGGAATTGAAAGTGCGACGGGTCATTCCCATGTGGAACTGTACCTCTATCCGCTGGAAGCTACTCCCATTCCCAGTCCGAGCTTAGTCTATGGAAAGTTTGCGCGGCGCTGCAATTGCCGGCTGGAGCGGCTCAAACTGCATTCAAATAGCCAAGAGATCAAATGATAAATGAACTGTTCTTTCGTTTCGTTCCGGCTCCGATCATTGTGAGCGCGCTGCTCATCTTGCTTGGGTGTGTGCGTGTGTGTGAGTTATTGCTTCCAACGAAGTGAGTTTGGCCCGAACTAACAGAAACGAAGTGCAGCCAGCAATACGAAGGGCACAGTGGCATCCGCCGGCGAACAGTGTGTAAGTGTGTGAGAGAGAGCGAGAGCACGAGAGCGAGTTGAAGAAAGAGAGCAGTGCGTGTCGATGGCGGCGCTCTGTTCGGCTCTGCTCTGCTCTGTTCGGCTCTGGCGTATATAAAATGAAGTCGGCTGCGTAGCGGAATCAGTTCTGTGACAGTTTTCAGCTGTTGAACACAACTTAAGTGTGCGCCTCGCTCTACTCGCTGCAACATTGACCGCCTTCTGACCGCTCAAACAGAAAAAGCAAAAAGAAAAAGTAAATCAAAAGCCTACCTTGACTTGTAATGTCGATGAACCGTGCGTCTTATAAAGAGTGCCGCGTCAAGAAACCACAATTTGTAACAGTTAACAAGGAGTCGTGCTGAAGCCCCGCCCCCCTCGCTCCACAACCTTTTCACTCATCAACACTGAGACGAATGTGCCCAAGCTTTGAGCTGGACATACGCTACGGTTGAAGATCGAAGCCAAATACGCCCACTATTTTGCACTACGCTCCGGAACCGGAACGGGAAAAGGAACAAAATAGAAGCTGCTCGTCGCAGGCGCTGTTGCGTTGCAAAATAAAGAAAAACAATCAAAATTTCACCAAAGCTAAGCTGCACAGCTACCAAAACGGCACACCGCGCCGACTCTATGTCATTGTTAACTCAATTGCTGCTGAATTTCAATCAAAAGGCCCAATTCCGCAGCCAGCACAATTTAGAGCTGATAAACTCCTTCATAACATAACAAAAAGTTGTGAGATTCGAGCAGCTCGCGCCTTCAATCAAAAGACGCGAACGCCAAACGCTTCTAAACGCCGCCCACTTAGGGAGAAAACCGCAAACATTTTTTACCGGAAGAGAAAAAAGAAATCAAATCAAAAGGTGAGCCAAACACTTCACAGATACTCGCATATTTAGCGATTAGCGATTCGACGAAATACCAATTTAAAATAGACAACGACGAACAAAATTCGAAGAAAAATAAATCACATATTCAGCCATTCAGCGAATCAGCAAAAAACCCCATCCACGCCGAAGGGCAAATCGAGTCGAAAATCTGATGCAACATTTGCCAGCGAATCGCCAGACGACACACTCTATATAGAGAGACAGACTATAATGCTTTGCATACCGAATTGAATAACTTAAGTGGTCACGCCCTTGTCGAATATACGGTGAGGGTATATGGTATATGGTATATGGTATCTGGTATATAGTATAGGATCGGTCGGTCTGGCTAATTATGCTCGGCCTTTGATCCATGGCGCGTGGGCGCGCTCATCAAGGAGCTGACGTCACAACCCAAAACAATGTGATTTCGATTTTCAATTCTTCTGTCTGGGTATTTTTCTTCCATTTTTTTCGATTTCTTAATTTTTTTTTTTTTTTTTTTTGGTTTATTTTTTGATCCACTTAAGTGTTGAGTGTTGGTGCCTACGTGAGTTCTTTGTCCACAATTTATCATCGTTTGTTCTATTTCGGTGTCCCCAGACCGCGTGATATTGTGAAATTGTGAAATGCTTAGTCGACGGCTGGGAAGATCTTCATTAGCTAGGGGTTGGTCGCGCTTCTCGCTAGGATCTCTTTACCTTGAAGTAAAAAACATTTTTTCATTGGGAATTAAGAATTGGAATACTTGAGATGTTTTTCGTAAATTAATCTCGTGTTTTAAGAAAAACTAGATAATAGATTTATTTATCTATTTTTTTTTATCTTCCAAATATATATATATATTTTTTTTTGTTTTACTTTTGGAAAAAGAAAACAAATTTGTAAAATAAAGATTTAGAGATATGATTGCTGGCAGGCTCGTGACCGGGTCCTAACGCTTCTCACTAAGCCAGCTTAGCTGCTAGTGGGAAAGAGACAGATTGAGAGTGAAATAATTTTAAATAAGTTTTGCTTGAGCTCAGCAATTTTGACTGAAAGAAAAGCGAAATGTGAAACAATTTTAAGTTTCATGTCAATTCAAGCAGCTTTTGGCCCTAAGTTATTGAGTAAAATTGTGTAATTTGTTGAGCAGGAAATATTTAAAATTTTCACAATGCAATTATGCAATTTATGAAATGAAATTTCTAGAAATATAGATATACTATATAGATAGCTGATATTCAGCTACGTTGATAATATTGCAAGATGATTTGCAAACGTTTGCCACTGCAGCCGTGGCTCGTTGCGTGATTCCTCAAGTCACGATTCACGGTTCACGCTTCGATTCTTATCATCCATCCGTCCATCCGCCGATCGATCCGTACGGCCGTCCGCTTGGTATCAGTCGACATTGTGATTTATAGCCTCGGATTTAGCCTGCCATAACGGACTTGGCACATTGTAGCTGATAACTGCAGCGATGCTCCAATGATGATTGTGGGTTTATTAACCTATATTATAAGTGGAATGATATTGAACTTTGAACCTCGCTTCTATCACTAAGCCACGCCCCTTCCGCCTCTCGACTCATTGCAGAAAATGAATTTAAATCTGTGCGCTATAGCGCTGCTGCTGTTTGGCAGCCTCTCGGGCGCCCAGAGTCGCGCCGTGGACATTGTGGACGACAGCAACGATGTGGACAACTCCATTGAGACGGAGGAGGTGCCGCAGTCCCAGTCGAAGCACCGCAACCGCGCCTTCGAGGACGACTGGCTGAAGTTCATCAAAACTCCACCAAACAAGATGCAACAGGCGCCCGGCGCCACCCTCGAGATCGCCTGCGAGATGATGGGCTCCCAGGTGCCCAGCATCCAATGGATTGTCGGTCACATGCCACTCTCTGAGGTAGGTCTAGCAAGCCCATCACCCGTCCCTCGAATCCCCTAGCTCAACCATGCTCTCTCTTCTCAGATTGATAATCTGGAATCGAACTCGATCACGGAGGATGCGCCCACGGCGATCGTTCGTGTGCGCTCCGTGCACATTGTCGATCACATGCTGAGCGAGCCGAGAATCTACACGTGCATCGGACGCACTGGCTCCAAGACCATCTATGCCAGCACCGTGGTGCATCCCTCGCACGCTGACCAGGAGCTGGGTAATCTGATCGTACCCGAGAAGCAGTACCAGGGCCCGCAGAAGCCGCGCATCATCTACACCGAGAAAACCCATCTGGATCTGATGGGCTCGACCATCATGCTGCCCTGCAAAGTGCATGCCCGCCCGCACGCTAAGATCACCTGGAGGAACAACGAGGACAAGGAAATCGTGCAGAGCCATCGCTTCAAGGTCCTGCCCACCGGAGATCTGCTCATCTCTGATCTGAAATGGGAGGATATGGGCAACTACAAGTGTATAGCGCACAATGCTGTGGGCCGAGACTCGGCCGATACCTTCGTATACCCCGTACTTGTAAGTATCGTTAACTTCATTCTCCTCTCTTGCCAATAACTCGAATTATCGATAACTTTTTGTAGCCTCTTTTATCTTCCACACTAACTCGATATTTTCCCTACTTTTTTTTTTCATTGCAGAAGGAAGACTAAAGATTCCACCCAAGGCTATTCGATTGGACATTTTTAGTTAGTTAGATAGATCAAATGCCTTTGAAGATGCGCGAAAGATAAAAACAACACTAAAAAAAAAAAAAAAAAAAAAAAAAAAAAACAAACAAAAAAATGAAGAAAAAGAAAAGAAAGCTTAAGCTTAAGTTTAACTCTAGAATCTAATGCCGGCTTAGACTTTAATGTTTTCAATCATTTCCTTGTTTTTTTCATCCACCTCGAATTAGTTACGAATATTATTTTTAACGGTATTTGATTAGGTTCTTGATATCTAATATAGCATTTGCTTGTTTCTTCAATTTTACCTTTTACCTTTTAGTTGTTCAGGTAAACAAGTTTCGTTTATATGTAAGTAGCAATGTTTGTTCCTAACTATATCAGGCAAGACACTAGTTAACGATAGTAATTGGCCCGTACTTATTAAACATGTATATATGTGCTATGTATATATGTCTATATATAGCCAGCCAATGAAGACACCAATCCACCAATACACCATAGGCATCTCGAATTCACGAATTCAGATTTTCATGAATTTACCTATTCACGTATAAACGAAGTCATGAATTCACGCAAAGATTCGTCTATTTCATATCTACAAAATTTATTTATTGAACCCCCATCGTTCATACATTTACACATCCATACATCCATCTATAAGCATACAAAAGAAAGAGAAAAGTATTCACTGAGGTTAACAGAACAGTCTTTATATAATATATAGATACACACACACACAAATAAGTATACACACACCCATGGAAGCCCCACATAACTTTAGGAAATGTTGCCCCTTTACATGATGTTTTATGTTTTACATTAAGCTAATTGAACTGAATTATGGTTTTTTTTACATTATATATTTAAATATTATATTATTGAATTTAAAGTGTTTGTTTTTTGAATAAATACACAAAAATAATGAAAAGAACACGTTGGGCTTTAGCATTGCTTATATTGGTTTTGGTTTGGTTTTCAACATTTTATTGACACAGTTTATTCGGTACAATCTATACAGTGTTACAGTAACTACAGCTAAGGAAGGTCGGAGAACTCTTTGTGTTTTTTATTTTTCTCTTAGTAACAAATAACGAGCAAACGCATTTACGTATATATGTAAGTCAGGGCTGCGAAGCGGTTAATGAATCGGTTCGAATCGGGAATCTCAGAAAGTACTCGAAATCAACTGAATTGGAAAGCCTAACTGCGCTCGGAGTTTGATGAACTTGTGTGACTCATAATCCTTCAAATTGGCATTCCAGAAAACAATTCGAAAAATTCGAAATTCTTGACAGCCCTGTTCTAAGTTTGAGAGATAAGATGATAAGTGTTTAAGTAAATAATTGATTGACTTATGTTGCGTATTGATCGCACTACAAGTCGAGAGTTACGCATAGTTAGGAGCAGCTTCTGTGATAATCTCTACGGTATATATATATATATATTATACACATACATGTATGTATGTATATTACGTGCTGATTGTGCGCTTGTAACAAGTTGAGCAATGCGAAAGACAAAAACAGACAAAACCCTATCAAACGATCGTCTACTATATATTGTCACTTGTCATTGGAAAAGGTTGTCCTAGGGTAGGTCGGGGGAGGGAGCTGGCATCCAAGGCAGACGAGACAAAAGCGAATGGAATTTCGATGCGAAAACTTTAAATTCGTGGACGGACTCTAATTTTAGGATTTATAATACTTGTTGTCAATTGGAAATGCATTCACTCGAGATGCAGATGCAGATACTGATGCTGATGCAGCTGCAGATACAGATACAATTTTGTTTTTGTTTTTTGTGTGCTTCGTGCTGGCAACGAAAGTTGGCCCCAGTTTTCGAGCGTGGCCAAAAAGCTGAACGCCACCTCGCGCCGCGCTGTTGCCGGGCAGATTTTGATGCCGATTTGAAAGTCGCGCGTGACTCAGTGCAAACGGAAATGGCAGCAGGCGACGAGAGGGGCAATGACAGAGACAGAGAGCGAGATAGATTGAGTAAGAGTGAGTGAGAGAGAGAGAGAGAAAGAGAGAGGGACAGAGATCAGGCAGGGACAGACGGACCGGTCCACTTGCCGGCAACCAGTTTTTGTCGCTTGAATGACGGCACGATGTGCTAATTTATATAAATATATAAAATAAGAAAATAAAAAAGCAAGAAACACAACAAACGTCAGCCTAATGATAAATGATTTATACGAATTTGTCAAGCTAATTGGAAGGCGCGCGCAAAGTGCCGCGCTGCAAAGCGATCCGACACGAAAGACAAGTGAATAATTGCTCGCAAAAGAGACGAAGCAACGAAGCAACGAAGGAGCGAAAGAGCGCGAGAGAGGGAAAGGGAGCGATGGGCATGATAGATAGCGGGCAGTGGATACAATAAAGATGGAT